CACAAAGAGCGTTGGATGCCGCTTTCAAGTTTTTTTTTGTTGAGCAGCTCATGGCTTGGGGGAGATGTGGGGAGGAGGGGTGCCCTCCAGCCTGCAGTCCCCAGACCCCTTTGTGGGGGGTGGACATTAACCCCAGCATTACCAAACTGGGATTTGGGCAGATCTAGAATAAATCACTACCGTGGGCAGGAGTAATTTGGTCCAGGTGCCTGTACCCTCACCCCCTGCCCCCCTCATTAGCTGGGACCCCTGAGCCGAGCAGGGTCCCAGACTGCCTCCCTCCAATGTTCTTGGCTGTAACATTCCCTTCCTGCACTTTCATAACCAAGCCCCCACAACACCCCCCATAACTAAATCCCACCAAGGTCAATATTTGGGGAAGAGAGAGGATTTCCCCTTGGGCTCATCCAGATTCACTATCTGGGTGTTGCAGGGCTGCTGCTACTGCAGGACCCCTCCATGTGCCACCTGCTGCGGTGACATTCACCTGGGACCTCAGATCATTCCAGCTTTGGGCTTTTTCTATGGACATTCTCTGATTCTGTAAGTTTTAAGGCAGCGATGGTTCAGAAGGGTAGTTTCCTTCATATCTTGCTCCCCCCCACCAAGCCAATCACTTCTGCTGGGATAACCCCTTTGCCTATAAATCTCCTCTCCCACCTCCAAAATAAAAAACCTTCCAGGCCTCTCACAGGCACTGACCTAAATCTGGTTTCTCCATCATAACCTCAGTTTTACCGCAATTAATTTTTTTCTGCTGGTCACAAGATAATTCCTGACGCCAGAAAGTCTGGAGGTCAGATGAGAAGCGGATCGAGGAAAAGGGCGGCACTAATTTCCTTGAAACAGGGCGTTTGGGAGGTGGGAAACCCCATCGCCCTGTCTAAAAATAGGGGGAATTCACTGGGAAGGGGAGTGGGACAGTTAGGGGGTGCTAGGGTGTTGAAGGGGTATGGGGGGGATAATCCCCAAGACGTCTGGGGGGGGTCTGGCCAATGGGGAGGAGGACTTTCGTGGTCCTGTCATCCCCCGTCGGGCCACCCTGGCCATCAAGGGTCAATCTGGGGGGCTGGGGACGGGGGAGGAGTGAGGTAGTGGGGGCTTAAGACGGGTTTAAGACTTCATTTACGTGTAGGGGCGGAGTTTGATGCTTCATTGACACTCGGAGGCGGGGTTTAGGGCTTCGTTTACATAAAAGGGAAGAGATTAATGGTTATTTTACATAAAAGGGGGTTGTGTTGTTCATAATTTGCATATAGTGGGCGCGGTCAAGTGGCGCTGCCTAGATAAAGGCGGTGCGTGTGCTTCCCCCTCGTTCCCAAACTCTCCCCGATCTTCTAGCGAAGTACGGAAGTTTGGGGTCCGGAGGGTGCGAGTTAAAGCTCTCAGAGCTGCCCTCTTTGGCGGTCTGGTGCTCAGAGGTCCCAGCAAAACCCCCGCTGCCGCGACAGCCCCTGAGGCTCCTAGGCATCCCCCCCGTCCTGCATCTCCAGACCTGCTCTGAGCCCACCATGAAAGCCATCAGTCCGGTGCGCTCCGTCCGGAGCTGCTACGAGGCCGTTTGCTGCCTCTCGGAGCAGAGTTTGGCCATCGCCCGGGGCAGCCACAACAAGAGCCCGGCCTTGGAAGAGCCCATGAACTTGCTCTACGATATGAACGACTGCTATTCCAAATTGCGGGAGCTGGTGCCGGGCATCCCTCAAGGCACCAAGGTGAGCCAGGTGGAGATCCTGCAGCACGTCATAGACTACATCTTCGACCTCCAGATCGTACTGGAGGAGGTGTCCAAGGGCCGCGATCCCTCCTCCGAGGCCACCCTACTTTCCCTTAAGGTAAGGGTCTCTTCGGATTGGGAGCTCGGTATCTCGATTGGGGGAGAGAGGATGTGTTAGGTTGGAAGTGATAACAAGTCGGGGCAGGGGTGCTGCTGGGTCCCCGAGTGTGTTGGTGGGTCCTGTCACGGTGGGGAATGGGGAGGACTGGGGACCACCAGCCGCCGGGGTGAATTTAAGCCCTGTTCTTTCTCTCCGCAGGCGGCTGAACTCGCCTCAGAACTCCGCACCAAAGACGAGAGAAGTTTGTGTCACTAACACTACTTCCACCAGGTGAGTGTCGCCCCCAATTACCACCGCCACCACCATCCACAGCCCAGTCCTCCCCATATGCCCACACCCCAGGTGGCATCTCGGGGCCCCCTCCTGCCCTCCAGTATCAAAATCCCCCGGGGACCGACCCCCAGCAACCTATGCTCCCCTCTCCCTAATTTCCCATCGCACCCCAGTTTTTTCCCACCCGCACCTCAGTCGACCTCCCCGACCCACCATCGATACTGATCCAAATAACGCAGACCGGTGCTCCCCCTTTCTCTTACCTGAACCCCAGTCCCAGCCAGCACCAGCCCACCCCCAGCACCTCCAGGCGGGAGCTAGATACAGTCCCCGAAGAACTTAGTTTCCTGGCTCCCAACCTCTCTTCCCAAATTTCCAATCCAACTCCACTTACCACCACACTAATTACCACTATTATTTTTTTCTCTTCCCTCCCCCCTCTGTTCTCTCACCTCCCGGTGCCAATTAGCAAACAGGGCAGCGAGTGTCGGTTCCTGGTTCGTTATCAGCCGGAGGTAAATAGCAGCTTCCTCCGTGGCGCCAGGCTGTCTGCGACCTACCGGCCCCCGCATCGCCTGCCCCGGGCCCAGGCACCGCGAGTGGGGAGCGGCTGGTTCCGACCCCCCTAGCCTTCCACTGCCAGCATCCCACCCACGGAGCTCAGCATCCCAGCTTGGGACCCGAATTCACATGAGAGATATTTTTAATGATAGACTGATGATGAAGCACAGGTTGTCTGTATATTTTTGGATTATAGCAGCGAGTCCTTTTTTTTAAAGGTGTTTAATGAGATGGCGGGGTGGGAATTAGGGGGCTTTGTGGAGGGGGGACAAACATCCTCGATTATGAACTAAACTCTGGGGCTGTGGCCTCGTGTATTGTGGAGCTCTATACTAGAGTATAACTTTTTGTACCTTTTGTGCAGGAAGGTGATTTTCTGCGAACATGCCTTGTACTTGCTTTATAAACTTTTTATAAAAGTTACCATTTTTGCATAATAAAAGTCAATATAATTTTGATTGGTTTTTATCCTTCATCGCTGGGATGGAGGGAGCTGGGGTGCACCTCTGAGTGGGAAAACCCCCTGGGCAGTGGGAGCCTCCCAGACTTCGATGGGAACTTCTAGGGTTACTGCAGGAATCTCCTTAATTGTGTAATAGAAATGTCAGCTCAGGTATGGGAGGAATTAACCCTGAGCTGCCAGCTATTTTGTGTGCTGCTGTGCTCATCTGATACGGAAGGAGTGAAGACGAGATGCTGAGCCCCGGGGACCATCTAGAGGTGTAGCTGGAGCCCTGGGAAGGAGGGAAAAACACACTTTTTTCCACTTTTAGCCATGTGGAAATGAGCTGATAGGTGCCCTGATGCTGGATTTGAGCTGCTCCGCCAGGATATACTCCATAGGGGTAGAGGAGTTTCTGGACTGCTTTTGCTGCCCCAGGTAGAATTGAGAGAGCAGTCCCTGCTTGGCCTGATCTCCTTGGAGTCAACACTGCAGGGAAGAGGTGTTGGGAGCAAAAATGCTTTTCCCTTCCCTTGGGTAATGCTCCGGTTTCCCTTTGGCCTAGGTGCAGAACAGATGTGACCCCGGGCTGGCTCAGCTGTGGAGCCCAGATCATGCTCCCTGGGGAAGGTGCTGGCCTGCCTAGGATGAAGTTAAATTGACTTCACCCCCACCTGTAGCACCATCATCTTTATTCCCTGTGCTTGGCTCTGGTTTTGCTGCCATGGGCTTAGCCAGGCATGATGAGGGTTCTGCCCCGTGGCATTGGGGTGTCCCTAGGGTGCTGCAGCATCCAGGGGTGCTGGGTTAAAGGCTGCATAATGGGAACAGGAGGAGGGAGAAGACACAAGGGTCTCGGAGCACAGAGTGATACAAAGCTTCACCCACACACACTTCAGCCTCTATCCCAATGACAGAGAACAGGAGCTTGGGGTGCAGCTAGCACCTGCCAAATGCATCTTGTCCATGGGCATTTCCACAGAGAAAAGCAGCACGTGGAGCTTCCAAAAAGCACCACCCGGTACAACTGGATCACCAGCCCCTGGGAACTTTCCTCCCTCCCCCCAGCTTGATGTGCCCAGGGCAGGGTATCCTCTGGCACCTCTGGGTGGGGTAGGATGCAGTGACACGGGCTGTCCGGCACGGTGAGAGGCAGGTGAAGGTGTCCATCCAGAAACCACTGCATCTGGAAACAGAACTGCTGTTATGGTCACAGCTAAAAATAAAGTTTTTCCATCTCCATTGGCTTTTGGCTCTGAAGGAAAAAGCAAGAGGTGGGTTAGGGGTGAGTGTCCCCACATTCACCCCGGTGTCATGGTCCTCCAGCTGTGCCAGTGCTGAAGTGCCAAAGGGAATTAAGTGGGATGGGTGGGAAAAGCATCCTAGGCATTAGCCAGGGGACAGGGATGAGTCTCGGTACCTGGAAGGTGGAGCTTCTTGCAGTGTGAGCACTCCGTCCCAGGTCCTAATGGGTCCCTCATCAGAGATAATGGTGGTGGAAATCCTGGACTCGTGGGAGCACTAATGAGCCTACTTTGGGACTGGAGTTACTTGGAGAAGTGGGGCTAGGCACTGATGGGGTGGGAAAAACCAGTCCTGCTGGGGCTTTTTGGATGGAAAGGACACTGGGGAGGTGGAGCGGGACTCCAGCCCCCGGGGAGTGGAGGTGAACCGTGACCCTGTCCCCTCTCAGGGATCAGGGCAGGGGATTCCCGAGGCCAGGGGTTGTCGGGGTTCGGTAGGCTGTAGCTTCGGCTCTAGTTCCCAAGAAGCCTCCCAGGGCCGCTACCTCCTCCCCCGTGGTGGATGGATCCCGGCGTCTTGCCCAGAGCAGCCACCCCGACATTCCCAGAAAAAAACACAAGCCTTGTTCAGACCTCAAAAAAAAAAAAAAAAAAAAAAAAAAAAAAAAAAAAATTCTTTGAAACCCCTGTTAAACAAAAAAAAAAAAAAAAAAAAAAAAAAAAAAAAAAAA